AATGTATTACCCCTTTGTATGCATTGCTTACGAATATATCCTCAAAACATTTTGAATTGTTTTTTATTTATTGAATCGATTTTGTGTTTTATATGTTTCACATTATAATCGCTGGAATCAGTCGTTTAACTTATTATCTGATTTTTAAATCAATGGCTTTTATAATTATTTGCTAAGTTTTAATTAACGTTTAGTTAACGACGACAGGAAATATACCGAAAACAGTATTAGTTTTGGTCATATTTGGGGTCAAAGTTCAGGGCTATTGTACTGACTGTTATGCAAATGAACTGAAAGGACAAACAATTGGTTGTGTGTATGAAATATGATTACATAATTTAGTTAGACTTCAGAAAAATGGCTTTTTTGTTATGAATGTGTGTTTATTTCCTGTAATACTAAATGCTTTTTGATTTGTAATTCAGTGAGAATTTGTGTTCACTTGTTCCCAAATGCTATGTCAACCTCTATAGTCTATGCCATGAATTGAGAGTTTAAGTCATAGATTGTGACAAAATATCAATTTTAATATATCGTATATTTATATAACATAGACAGTAGTGTCGGGTCTGTGTTTGAGTCTAAAAACAAGTAATCTTACGCTCTGTTGAATACAATTAATGCCTGTCTTGTGAAGTCTTCAGAGTTCTACCCCACTTGTGATGTCCTTTTGAGAAATACCTAAACGTTTCTTCTTCTCTAATCTCACCGTTTGTTTCAATAACTTTAGTATTAGTCGTTCACCAGTTTGTCGTCGTTTCTCATGTTTTTCAAATTGTGTTCAATTTTTTGATGAATTAGTTTTCTTTCATATTTATTATTATAATTTTTGTTATTTATTTAGTGTTTAATTGCAAACAATGTTATGTTATTTGGAATTAAAGTTATGAAGAAATACTGATTTGTTTTTTGAAAAATATGAAAATATTATTGTTTTATTTATGGCTTTAATTTTGGTTCTTCAATTGAGTTGTTGTGAGAAAACAGTTATTTTAATCAAAACATTGTCTTCAATGTGTATATTGTTTGACTGGAAGTGTTGTGTTTGTCTCCCAAATGCATGACATCAGTAGTAATAGTCATTCTCATCACAATTCCCATCATTTCTGTAATACTAATACAACTAATAATAATTCAAACAATAGTTGGATCCGAACTTTAGACTGTATTTTGAAGCGAAACTCATCGCAAGCTTTATCTACAAGTGCCTCATCATTACGACCAGAAAATTATCTGTAATTCACTTCTCATTCATTTCACATTTCGTTCAATTAATTTCATTTATTTTTAACTCGTTTTTCATTCATTTCGGTTAACAGTTACTTTCATATCATATTTCTCTTGGTTTTCACTTATGATTATGATTTTTGCCATTAGTTTTCTCTATTATTTTTAATTGTATTCTCTGGACATATATTTTCATTAAAAAAGGTAACTTAAGTTAAACTTAGGTAAGGATTCTCCAAAAAGCCATACTTTAGGTGTCGTTTTTTTAATAATAAGGCAAAAACGTGAGTAATAATAATACTATTAATTCAATACAAAAACAAAAAATCCTGTCTTTGCTTTTTTATTTGCCATTTGTTTCCTAGAATTCAAATGTAATGTTAAAAATGTGTAATAATTTATTCCGCGAAATGTATTTCCAATAAATCCAACCCTTGAAAAGCTTTTTGCAAACATTTAGAAGATTTGTTACCAAAACATGGCTTAAATTTGTAATTTATTTGATATACGGTTTTTCATACCGTTTTTATGCTTTATTTGCCGTTTGAATCACACAAAACACATCCACAATACAAACCGCACGAATCGTACGCTTAAACCAATTGATTGAATATTTTTGATTGAATTATTAGCGAATGTTATAGTGTTTAGTGTTGTGTCCAAAACAGTGCATTCAATGTATTTCTAACGAAACATATAATATAACAAACTGTATGTGTATTTCAGGTGGTATTTCGGCAAAATCAAGAGAGTAGAGGCCGAGAAAAAGTTGTTATTGGTGGAGAATGAGCATGGTGCTTTCCTCATACGGGACAGTGAGTCGCGACGCAACGACTTCTCGCTGTCTGTGCGCGACGGCGACACTGTTAAGCACTACCGCATCCGACAGCTGGACGAGGGAGGCTTCTAGAGAATGAGCATGGTGCTTTCCTCATACGGGACAGTGAGTCGCGACGCAACGACTTCTCGCTGTCTGTGCGCGACGGCGACACTGTTAAGCACTACCGCATCCGACAGCTGGACGAGGGAGGCTTCTTCATCGCCCGACGCACACCATTCCGGACACTCCAAGAGCTCGTCGACCACTACAGCAAAGACGCGGACGGGCTGTGCGTTAATTTGCGCAAAGCCTGCGTTCAGGTGGAGAAACCGACGACCAGTGGTCTGTCGCACAACACGAGAGACCAGTGGGAGATCGACCGGTCGTCGTTGAAGTTTGTGCGCAAACTGGGCCAGGGTCAATTTGGAGAGGTCTGGGAGGGCATGTGGAACAACACCACTCCCGTTGCCATCAAAACCTTAAAACCCGGTGAGTGTTGACTGAGTTTTGTGTTGGTTTTGGTTATAAAGTAACGTTTGTTTGTTTGCCTCTCAGGAACTATGGATCCGAAAGATTTCTTAGCCGAGGCTCAGATCATGAAGAAGTTAAGGCACCCAAAGCTCGTACAACTCTACGCCGTTTGCACTCTCGAAGAACCCATTTATATAATCACAGAACTCATGAAATACGGCAGTCTTTTAGAGTATTTACAGGGAAAGGGAAGGGGTTTGAAATTACCGCAACTCATCGACATGTCGGCCCAAATCGCGGCCGGAATGGCGTACTTAGAGTCACAAAACTATATACACAGAGATCTCGCGGCCAGAAATATATTAGTCGGAGAGAACAATATCGTGAAGATTGCGGACTTCGGTTTGGCTCGACTTATCAAAGAGGATGAATACGAGGCCAGAGTTGGCGCCCGCTTTCCGATCAAATGGACGGCACCCGAAGCGGCCAATTATAGCAAATTTAGCATTAAGTCTGATGTTTGGAGTTTCGGTATATTATTGACAGAATTGGTTACTTATGGACGCATTCCATACCCGGGAATGACTAACGCAGAGGTCTTGCATCAAGTAGAGAACGGATACCGAATGCCATGTCCTCCCGGTATGTCTATTAACACTCATTACAGTAACTCTTATATAAATATGTCATCAGATGTGATGCGCTTAAATGCTTTTAACACATAATTTGGATTTACCTCTAAATGTGTATTATTTGCAAAACACAACAATCGGTCTAATTATTAGTTGTTGTCGTATCTAAAAGTGATTGTATTTGTTGTTTCTGGTCGTATAGGATGTCCGCAGGCGTTGTATGAGATAATGCTTGAGAGTTGGCATAAGGATCCGTTCAAAAGGCCGACCTTCGAGACGCTTCAGTGGAAACTCGAAGACTTCTTCACACTCGAGGGCTCTGAATATAAGGAAGCGTCGATCGCTTATTAGCCTCTCATAAAGCCATTTGTCTCTTCAATCACTCGAATCGTCTCAACTCTACTTCTCTTTCATTATAACTATTATTATATATTTGTTATCATTTTTTAATTAATGGATTCCATAGAGAACTGCAAACTCTTGTATTATTTACACATTATATGTCATAAACATAAGAAATATGCAGAACAACAACAATTGAAAAGCAACTCTTTTTATTATACCTGTGCTCTCGTCTGTCGATTGAATTTCATTAGATATTCGATAATTAATTACAATATTATTATATTAAGTGCCATAAGATTCCACGGCTTCGGCCGATAATACACCAAAACATTTCATTAATCGCTTCTATGTTTCACTATTTTTACCATTTTTTATACAAAACATTTTTCGATCCAATATTTGATTCATTTTGCACTTAAAGATCACAATTAATAACTTATTTAACAATACTTTTTCGATCAATTTATATAAGAAAAGAGATTTTATTTAATGAAACTCAACGACGACTTTCACAGCAATTATTTTAATTTGCAATTAATTTTACAAATGATTTTAATATAATTATGAAATTAATGAAAAACTTTCGGTAAAAATACAATTTTGTGATAAAAATTCTTTTAAAATTAAATTTGAGTTTATTTTTTAAAATGATTTCAAAAATATATTTATTTGTAATTATATTAATTTAAATATGAATTCATCCTTACTTTACATTCAATTCATATTTCAAATACAATAACAATTATTGTAGTATTTTTTGTTTGTATTCTCATATCATATAAGTTTAGAGATTTTTGTTTGAAAATTATGTTTTTTTTCTAATGACTAGTAATTGAAAATAATATCTGATTTTTAATGGAAAATGTTTTTTAGAGCTAAAGATCTGCAAAATGAATAAATTATTGGTTTTTAATTTAAATAATAAGTTCATAACTCTTGCGATAAACTATTGAAATGTTTTCAAAAAGGGACTGATTTTATATCAAAATATACAATAAATATATTATTAATTATGGAATTGATTGAAGTTTTGAATCGATGGTCGAAACTGTGCTATAATTTATAGCTAATGAATGATTTTCGAGGAAACGATAGTTTTTTAATTTATAAAAAATTGTTTTCAATCACTGCCTAAACGAAAGACTATTTGCTCTCGAAATGAATGTCAACTTCACTGCTATATTATTATAATATTAATAATTATTTGTATTATTTTCTGTGATTTCATTAGAAGAACAACAAAATAAATTAATTTTCAAAAAAAACTAATTTTCAATTCATTATGTGTTTTAATTAACTGTAATGTCGATGAAATCTAATTATAGGACCTAAATATAAGCCAGTTTTTGGGTTATAACTGTTGGGCGTTGTCTTTGGGAACCAAATCGAAACCAGAAATCATTAGAAGAGGAATCGATGGCAAGAAAGACAACACAATTTGATGAATGGTTTAATTTGATGTCAAATAAAGACAAATATCGTATTCAATAGGATTTATATTGAGACCATAAAAAAGCAAACTTTAAAATCATTTCTTATCACAAGTTTAAATGAGAAATGGTTTTCATCTCTCGAAAGACACCCAAATTTATCAAACTTTACACAAACTAATGATTAAATTGTTTGTTTAGAAAGAGAAGAAAGTTTTTTATTGATTTTATTATGATATTTATTTGTGATTTCATAAAATGATTCAATGCTTATTTGGTTTTATAAAAAGTGGTTTTTTAATTTGTAATTAATTTAGAATTCAGACAAAAAAAATTTCAATGATATATAATTGTTTTGAATTTTATGAGATTTCTGTCGGCTAACACATGTTAGCACTCTTAGCGGCTGCGGCGGTGACTTTGGCCGGAACTTTGGCCTTCGGGGTGGTGTTTGCCACGTTGGCGGCGTCGGCGCTGAGCCTCACGATTCCTCTTCCTTTGAATACCTCTTTTGGTCTGTTCAGATCGGGTCAACTGGTGTGGGCACCGACGACTCGGACATACGCGTGCCATTACAAGATATTTGGTGATAGTGTTGTTTACAATTTAACTTAACTGACAATTTTGATATTTGAATTGTTAATGTAATCATATATTTGACGCGCGCTTTCATTTGAATTAGTTTTAATTGTGGTAAAAATTGAATAAATAGTTTTGTGCGAGATTTGTATTTGTTATTAACTTTATAAACTTTATTTCATTTAATCTTAATTCATATATCGTTTTATTTCCAGTATTTCACTATTATTTATGCGTTTAATTGTTTGACAAAACTTTTATAAAAAGTTAATCTAAAAGTGAAATAACTGTGAAATGAGTGGTGAAGTGAATGGCATTGAAACGTGTGTTTCGTAACCATCGCTGCGATCGACGCATAGACTGTAGGCTTCACTCAAACCAATCGACACAAGCATTGCGTTCACAAAAACATCACAAAAAAGTCATTCATTTTCAGCCCTTATTTCTGTGATTATCATCACTTGTTTGGTCCACCCGTAGAGACCATACATCACAGCACACAATACCACCACATCATTGAAGACAACGCCCATACCTGCCGTCAGTATTACCACAAAAGCACTGATAATTCATTTTTGTCTCAAGACATTACCACAAGTCTAAGACATCAATACTTTTTTGAATTACTTTTTTGTTAGTTTTGTTAATATCTGTAGTTATCTCTCCTTTTTATGGTCTCTTTATATCAGACAACACTTGACAGACATATCATTGAATAGACGTCTGAAGCGATCGATTGCTCGCAAAACCAAAGAGATGTTGAATTTGGGCCAAATATTTCCCGACGTGAGGGCGGAGTCGACCGCCGGTGCCATCCATTTGTACGAGTATTTGGGCGACAATTGGGGTCTGATTTTGTCGCACCCGAAGGACTTCACTCCCGTCTGTACGACAGAAATCGGGAGACTTTCGCAACTCAAGCCTGAGTTTGACAAAAGAGGTGTCAAAGTATTGCTAATTAGTTGCGATTCCGTCGACGACCACAACCTCTGGGCCCAAGACGTGGCCCAATATTGCGGCGCTAAAGTGCCATATCCTGTATGTCTGTCTCTTAGTCTGTCTATTGGTTGTATGAATTGAATAGATATTGTATTGTTTCAGATGATCGGCGATGAAAGCGGACAAATAGCCACTCAAATAGGAATGTTAGATAAGGTATGCAAATGTGTTGATGTCTTGGCCCACAAATGCCATATGTTTTGCCCTTTTTATTGATATCACATTACTTTTTGGGTCAAATAGTATTGCGCTATAAAAGGGTTAAACGTATGGTTTGTTTGATAATAATTAATGAAATTGATATGAGATTCACTTTCACGAGAAGTCATAAAATAACAGTCAAAATGAATATTACATGAAATGAAAGCAGATTTTTATCTAACAGTGCTTTATATTCAGTAATTTATATGCATTTGAATTTAAGGCACAAAACAATTCTTATGACATATAAAGCATTTGATTAGACATTAAAATTTACATAAAATATTTGATTAATGTTTTATTCTTTAAATCCTTTATTTGTCGTTCATTTCTATTTTGTTGAACATTAAAGCAGACGTTTTCTCTAGTTTTTCATTTATTTCTACTTTAAAAAAGAGCTAATATTTAGTTTGTTTTGTAAATTCTTTAAAATTTTTATTTTACGAGAGAGAGAGAGAGAGAGAGAGAGAGAGAGAGATACCAATTCGTTGGCTATAAATCCTATTTTGCATTAATTGTGTGAATAAATCAATTTAGATCTGAATTTACATACAATAGGATTTAAATATCCAAAGAAAGTTATGGCACTTTTGGCTTATCATTGAGTAAACCCTTTGAGAATACAGTACTGTATATGAAATTCACATTTGATTACTATATAAATTGATATTAATATTGAATTTATTTAGTTTTAGGCTTAAGTAATGAATAATTGATGATCTGTTTAGTGAATTCTGTGAATACAAGACATAAAGAGTCCATATATTTGAATGCTTAGGCTATAGGAATAAATACAACAAAAAAAGCTATTGTTTAGATTGTGTCCTAAATGCACACAATTGATAGGAGAGAGAGAGAGAGAGAGAGAGGAGCAAAGAGTGTATTATATTGTGAAGTAAATCTGTTTTGTGAATATCCAGTGACTTCTATATTGTGAGCGAAAGTCGTTTGTTTGAGACATTTGTTGAGCTTTTAATATGAGTAATAAATATAAATATTTGTTTGCAAAGAGTGACCACAAATGATAACAATTATTCCTAAAGTCTGTGCTCTAAAGAATATTGATGTCCGACTCTCCGGAACTGACATTCATTATGTGAGACCATATAAAACCCTTATTTTCTTTTGCTCTCTCCCTCCCTCTCTCTCTCTCTCTCTCTCTCGCTCTCCCTCTCTCTCCTCCCAATTGCTTCTTTCTTTCTCTTTACGGTCCGTCTGTTCTCACAAAACACTCCTTCGGTTCTTATATTACAAACGAGTATTAATACGATTGCGGACTCCTATCAGAGCTATCATTCCTCTCAATACTTTCAATACTCTTCTCAATCCAATTATTTTGTTATCTTTTCGCTGTCTCTCAAGTCATACACCGATTGTTTTTCAAACCCAACCATACATTCCATCCTTTCCTTTGTGTTTACATTACATTCTTCTCTATTCTATAAACAAATTATATTTAAAACCAATTTCTCTTCTCTTTGAAAAAATCCAATCTTTTTGAAGACTTTATACAAAAGGGATGTTTTTGTATAAATAATGACTCAATGAATGCAAATAGTATTCAATATTTTTATGTCAAACAAAACTGAGAATAACTGATTTGCATCTCATATAAAGCTCTAATTCACATTCAATTGATGGTTGCGTTAATTATAACGATTTTAACAAACATTTCTAAGTAATTACTTTAGCATTTTAATCAATTTTTCATTTAAAACTCATTTGTCTTTGCGTTCATCCGTTTTGCACCAATTTGTTGCTTATATAACATGTCTTTTTAGGATCACTTATTTTAAATATAATGAATACATTGGAAATCAGCGTTTAGTTGAACCCAATAAACACTATAAAAATACAAAACTAATTGTTTGTTTGAAATATTAAATGAAAATTAACGAGTTATTTGTATTGATTGAATAGCTGGTGATTCCGTCACTGATGGTTCCGCCGCCACATCTGGCGCCTCCCGATTACGAAGAGGCGACCAAAAGTTGCGCCCCTCCTGACTACGAGACGGCCACCAAATCCAACGAATTCAAGTTCGTTCCCAACATTACAACCAACCCCTCTATACCCCCGACACCACCGCCGCCTCCAATGGACACTACTTCACAACAATCGACACAATTGTCAAACACAGCACCGAATGTATCCATACCTGAATCAAGTGTTGCCTAACCCTATCAACTGATCTCTCAAATAGTCAACAGACAAACTGGACTTTATTTTACTATCATTTTTTGTTTATGCCCTTAATTTAACTCAAAATTATATTTAATCTCATTTTTTGACTTTATATTAATATTTAAACTGATATTTAAGTTTTACGACTGAAATAACTGTACAATTAGTTAACGAATTATTGTTGAGAAACAAAGGATTTAGTAATAAAAGTACTGTTTTATGAAGAGATGGATTGTTTCGAACAAATGATAGATATATTCATACAAAAACTTATGGTAAAAATGCTCTCAAAAATTGTATTATAACTATATATTTAATGCTTATATAATTAGTTATATTTTAATCTCAAATTCTAGTCAATATATAATTAAATAATCATGTTTTCTGTGCCGTCAAAGTCAGCACCACTGGACGTATCACTACTTAATTGATTCTTATTTTTGTTTAGGAATTAATTTCTATATAATTTGCTTCACATTAAGAGATCAATAAATGTATAACACATTGTGTACATTATCTATAAATAATAGACACAAAATATGCCTATTTTTGATTGAAAATAATCTCAATTTAATGACACTTTGAAATCTCACGATTCCCTGTATTATTATTCTTATGTAACGCTTAATCGATTAATACCTCAAAACCACAGTATTTCAGATGCATTACTGAAAATGAAATACACTTTTCATATGCATGTATGGAATCGATTGAATCGATCTTTATTTTCCAGTTGTTATTAAATGTATTATTAATTTAAATGCAAATAAAATCAATTTTAAGACAAAACGAGATGTATTTTTCTGTTTGTAAATTACGTAACAAAACAATAATAAATACATTTAATAATTTGTCACACAATTGACTGTCGGTTAATATTGTCGTATCGTTTTCGACAATCGGGTAATTTTTATTTAATAATTGTGTTCTTGTATTGCGAAAAGAAAATATACATTATATATGTATTTATATAAAAATATAATTTAATTGCTTTTCTGAATCTATAAACGCCTTATAGGGTAATAGAGTAATAAAGAGAATCATTTGTTATATATTTAATAATAAGTTTAAGTGGAAAATCGTTTCAAAGACTGATATCTTTGAAAGAAAGAAAACATCAATTTATTAGGCATTTGTATGAAAACAAATCATTTCTTTAATGCAATAAAAATAACAATTTTTATGAAATTTAGCCCAAAATTCATGGAATTTAATGGTCTTTGTCTTTGGTTTCAATCACTTTTAATGAATTTCAAGTAATCCTTTCCTGAGGGCAGGTCTACCACTCTCTGGCCCTCAATAGAGGCGCCGGGTTTGACGATGAGATCGCCGCCGACTGTCCAGTCGACTGGAGTCACAACATTCGTACGTTTGGCCGTCAATTGCAGCGAATCGATGAGCCGTAAGATCTCATCCATATTACGTCCCGTCGACGCCGGATAACTGATAATTGCCTTCACTTTCTTATCGGTTCCGATGACGAACACCGCCCTTACGGTCACCATTTTGTCGCCATCCTTACCGCACAAAAGGGCAAAACATTCATTAATTTAATGCTCATTTAAATTCAAATTCAAACTTCATTTCTTAGATAAATAACTTTGTATTAATTTTCATTCATTTCCTTAAGTATTTCATTGTATTTTATATAAAATGTTTCGATCAATACATAGTGTTTCTAACATTTACTTCTCTCTCTCTCTCTCTCTCTCTCTCTCTCT